CCCCAAAACCCCAAAACCCCAAAACCCCAAAACCCCAAAACCCCAAAATGATAAAAATATACTATTCAATTTACTAATAAAATTAAACATGCTTCTGCAGGACGAAGATCTATGAGAAAGGAAGGCGATCAAGACTATGACAATTGTACTTGCGATCTTAATTGCTATAACTGTACTCTGAGGGGTATTGCTGATAATATCAACATTCAAGTTTATCAGAAAGTTTAGGTTAAGGAAATAAGCTATTTAGCTTATTTTTAATAACTCTGAACCTTGCTTTAGTGTTCAGGATAATCTACATTTCAAGAAAGCTTTATGTGAACAGACCATACCATTGCCTTGAAGATAGCAGCTGATTCAGAGTCTTTGCCACCTTTAGTCCTCTTTGGATGCTGGGCTCTGCAGGAGTTTTGAACAGCCTAAATTGGGCACTATTCTGATTCTCAGTAAAGTATTTTGATAGAAAAAATACAAGATTTTATAAAAGGGTGAAAGTAATTATTTGAAGTATTTTCTTTATAGTTCTGGGAATCATGGCTATTTCGTATCTAACGGCTATTGGTATTGGCTGAGCACATCCTAATCCTGTTGATCCGAGCCTCCTTCTGTTCATCGACTGGTTTGGAATCTCCATCCACTTTGTTGTTTGCATCTCTTTTGTTATAACTGGACTTATCTTAAAATAAGGTTATTAAAGATTGGAATGAAGAAGTCGGAAGAAAGTCAAAGAATAGGATTATAATATCAATACTGGTCCTTTCAATCCCCTTCCTTGTTCGCGTAATTTATCTTATCGTTAAACGGACTTCCAATATGGATAGATTTATGAATCTTTCAGTAATGGACGATACTTTTGCAGCACCTTTGGTAATGCTATTCTACATTATTATTGCAGACCTAGTTCCCATTGGGTCTCAATTAATGTCAACTGTAGTTGTGGTAGATTCAAAGGACCTTCATCTTCATAAAATTTATGAAAAATATGTTGAAGAGTCAACAACTATTGAGAAAAATATATCTGTGATGACCATTGCTTCTTCATCCCAGTGAGGAAGCATAAGAGGTTCTTCTGAAAATTTCGATGTAAAGTCCTTAGTCTTTATTAACAATTCTAAAGAGGCAGGCATCAGCTTCCTTGGGACTAAAGATGACGAAGAATCTGTAAGCAGTTTGTACCGGAAAGGAAGTGATGAGTGTTAAAATTTCAACAGAAGTAGATGAGGGAGATAATCTTCTTCATACAAAAATACCTTTATAATCTGGATGATTTCTATAACTATGAGAGTTCAATTTCAATCAGGGAAGTGTGGATTGGGGTTTTGGGGTTTTGGGGTTTTGGGGTTTTGGGGTTTTGGGG